GCCCAGGGCTCCACCAGCCACCCAGGACCTCCCTGGCCCTGCTTCTTCCCTGCACCCTAGAGCTGTAAGAGAAATTGAAGCAAGCAAAACCCCTGGGTAGGGAAGGGTGGGCACAGAGGACCCAGCCAGTGTAGATGAACTATAAAATTATTTAGGTGAGCCGATCACTTCCCAGGAACCACAGCTGTTAGACAACTGTCGGGGAAAGCGTTGTTGTGGCTCCATCTGCTGGGAGCTTTGTTCATTGCAGTAATTCACTGTGGCCAGACCAGAACTGGCGCTTTTCCACTGGAGGCTGTGGCTGAGCCATGTCCTGAGACCTGTTCTTTGGGGCATTTTGTGATTGTCAGAGTAGAGCTTTTTCCTAGTGTGGAACAATGGCTTGCCTAAAGTAAATGCCCCAATTCTTTCATTGAAAAAAACCACAGATACCATCCTCCCTATGACCAGGAGACTTCATTTCTTGGTCTTGGCTTAGTAACTAGGGGGACATTTTTGTCTTATGGCATCAACCCCAACCCCATCTTACAGATGCATACATGCCACGCCATGTGAGCCAAGTGTCTCCCTGAACCAGCATTGGCTTACACATTCTCCAGCCTTATTGGGCACTGGCCCAATAAGCTTCTGTCTGTCTTTTCTCAAACTGGCCACCATGCTTCAGGACAAGGTTGTCGAGTACCTTGTCCTCTCCCCAAGTGCCACTCATGATGCTCAGTGCCTGGTCCGAATATCCTGAGGCTGGTCTTTGCCTTTTTTCTGTTACTTTCAAACATGCTTATAAAGTGCATTTATGATGTGCAAGGCAAAGTTGTTTGCACATTTCTCAAGAAATGAAATTATTTGGCCCAGATGTGGTAGCAGAGGTGGGACTGGATCCCAGGTACAATTGACCTGAGTTGGGTTCTAGCCATATCAGACCCTGCCCACTGGCTCTCCAAATCAGCTCCCCTTAACCTCCTTTCTATTACTACTACTACTACTACTACTACTAGATATAACTCAGGAACAATTAGGTAGAAGAGGTAGACAGGGCAGGATTGGGGTAAGGGCGAGTAACTGCCTGCCAGGAGCCTCTCTCCCCCTATCACTAATGAGATGATGACCATACAATGGTCTCCTGAAAGTCCTCCTGGGAGAGGAAGAAAGTTCCCAGGAGGGGCAGCACATTTCTCACTGGGAGAGAAGCTGTGGGCTGTTGAGGTCTGCATTCAGGTGGAAGCAGACTCCACAGGGGGCCTGTGCTCTCCCTTTCTTTAGCTCAGGTTCTGGGAAGGAACCTGCTGTGGTAGTTCTAGTTTGCTGACCAACCCTACTTAGCTCTTCCCTGGTGCCTTTTATGCTGCTGAAAGGCCTGGGACTTCAAGACAAGATGTTTTCCACTCTCCTAACACACAGCAGCCTTAAGCAGTGTTGACTGGGAGAAAGACTGATGAGAGGGAGTCATTGGAAAGTTGACTCTATCGAATTGCCCGCATCTCTGGTGCTTCCTGCTGGGCCTGGCCCGCCTGCCATGGAATAAACATTACCTGGCACGAGCTACTGGTATGCCGCTTCACAGCCTCACATGAGAAAAGCTAGCCCCTCTTCTCCACACTGTGGTGTCTACCAGTGAGATGAAGGCCTCCTCCCAGGGACTGTGCTCCTGAGTGATCCTCTTCCTCTCTCTTTCCCATAGCGCTCCCAGTCAGCCTTCTCACTTGTGGCAGAAGATGTCCAGGAAGCCTCTTCCCTGGAGGCTGCCCCAGGACAGCTGAGGGAGCAGGACCAGCAGCACAGGGAGGAGCCAGCATTGCCCAGCTGGAGGCACATGGACAGGCCGGACCAGACAAGTAAGCATTTTCAGCTGCTTCTAGTTGGGCCACTTGCTGTTCAGAGGTGTCTCAGGCTACGCCTGTTTGGCCAGAGGCGTCCAGCTCAGCACATGTATATAATGTCACTGAGTTTTCTGGCTGGGAGTTTTCCCGCCGAGTGGTGGGTGGGGCCCTTCTGGCCAAGAGTGTTAAATTCATTCAGCTGCACAGTTCCCCTCCTGCCACCTGTTCTCTGAGGCCTAGGAGACTGTCCTGTGTGGCCAGGACACTCATCCAACCCACCAGGGCACGGTGGTGTTCAAAGGGATTTGGCTCCTGCGTCCATCTGGTTTTAAACCAGAAACCTGACCTGTTAGTTAAGGTAACACTTGCTGCTCTGACAAGATAAACATTCAGGTGACTTAACATCACAGTTTAACTTCTTATCACACAGCAGTGCAGTGTCCTGGCTTCAGAGGACCAAGGCTCCTTCTGCCTTGGGGTTCTGCCATCCTCTAGGGCCTGATCTTCTGCTAGGTCATTCACATTCACAGCAGACAGAGGAAGAGGGAATGGAGCACACCCGCTTCCCAGCAACTTCAAGCAGGGAAGTGGCACAGGCCACTTTCCCACTCCCTGGACACCAGCTTGTCACACCACCCACCTTGATGTAGTGGCCCAGAAGTATATAACCTGGCTGAGCAAACTCCCCTGTGCCAAGAAAGGGGCAGGGTACTTGGGAGAGCAGCTGTCCACCCCTGAGGACAGCAGGCTGCCATCCTGTCCCACTTCTACCTGGGTAACAGCCACCTCTCCTCAGACTCCTCACTGTCCACAATATGGGGTCCTTTAGAAAATTGCCAAGTCATTCATCCTTCCCAATGACAGGGGTCAAATGGGCTCAGTCACTGGCCCAGACTCACACCTCACAAGGCTGGGAGAGACTGGCAACCCCCAGGGTAGCAGCCAATGTCTGGGGGCTGAGCTCAAGCCAACCTGGTCTCTTGGGCCCCAGGACTGTGGAGGTCAAGATGCTCACCTGCCCCACCCAGGTCTCATTGCCTCAGCCAGACACACGTCCTGCTGAAGACACTGGGCACATATGTCCTTGTCAGGAGAAAGTACTCACAGCATTCTCCTTCCCAGACAGCAACAACAACAGCAAAACATCCATCTTAGAAATATACTTTCAAAGATCATGCCATCATTCCTTCTCCATGAGGGAAGAGATTTAATAATAGTTACATCAGCAAGTTCCATTGTGCTCAAAGCGTAAAGAATTTTAAAACATGAACTATTTTTAGCATTTATTCTAAAGATTTTCCAAAAGCGCTTGTCTTCCTACTGGCCTTTTGGTACTTCAGTAGAAGCCTCAGAGATTCTTTGAGGACATGAAATTTTCTTTATGTGTGTGTATGGCTTTGGTTGTGTTTTCTCAGCGTCTTTTTCTTTCCTAGTTAGGTTTCTCTTTCCCCCTGCCGCCTAGCACACCTACATGTGTTCTTTCACATTCTTTCTTTTTAAAAAAGATTTGTTTATTTATGCATATAGAACTGGGGTACAGGTCAGAGGTGCAGGGGCCGTGAGAGGACTCACCAGAGACAGAGTGGCGCACATTGACAAGGCGCATCGACACACTGAGGGGAGCAGCGGGCGGGTCAGGAGAGGTCTGCCGCGCCCTGTGGTCACCTCTGGGGCCAGGGATAGAACTTTCACCGAAGCGACCACAGCGAGTTTTCAGTGCTGTGCTCTAACCCGTTAAGCTACCAGGGAGGGCCGTTCTTTCACATTCTTTCTTTCTGTCTCTCTCAACCTGACTGGAAGGTCTTGCAGAGGTTCTTAGATTCCACAGACATAGAACATCACAGTTGACCAACCATCAACTTTGAAAATAGCTTCGCAAAGCACAGCCCACTGTGAGCACGGTCTCCTTTCTGCCTCTGCCAATACCATTCAGTACTGACATTCCCTGGGTGGACACTGAGGGGCACTGAGGACAAGTGACCTGCCCACGGTCCCACAGCAGATGTGAGCAGAGCTGGTCCTCAAACCCCAACATCAGGACTCTAGTTTACAGACTTAACAGTTAGTGGCTTAGTGTCGCCTCGTCATAAAAGCAACCCCCCCAAAATATCAAAACTGATAAACTTACAGGTTATTGTGAAAACTGGTAAGCTATACCCCATTTCACGGAATAATTCCCCCACCACTCAATTATAAACATTCCAGAAACATTTGCAAAGGACTTTGGTTTCTCAAAACATGACTTTGTATCTAAGTTTCTGTGTAAAAAAGAAAAAGTGACCCTGGCCCTCCCTGGTGGCGCAGCAGGTTAAAGCATTGCACTGAGAAGCTAAAGCCACTTCCGCATGAGTTCAATTCCCGCCTGTCCCTGCCTGCCCCGGAGGTGACCCACATAGCATGGCAGACCTCTCCTGACCCGCCCGCTGCTCCCCTCAGCAGTGTACTTCGTCGATCTGCCTGTTCTGCTCCTCACTCTGTCACTGGTGAAGCCTCTCACCGCCCCTGAGCCTCTGGCCTGTACCCCAGTTCTGTATGTACAAATAAATAAATCTTAAAAAAAAAAGTGACCCCATGTAACTAACTGATGAGTCACATATAAACAAGACGTGGTGAAGCAGCATCACACACAAGGAAGAGTTTATACTCTGCTCAAAAATCCATGTGTTCTCATTAAGATTTAAAAGAAAGTACATCAACAGGTAGGAAACAGCTGACTTTTCTGAAGAAAGCTCAGCCTCTGATACACTAAAACGTCCAGGTCGGTACCAGAAGTCCTGAGATATGTCTGACATATTTAGCAGGAAGCGGTATGCTCCTGGGGGCATCGCTTAGTCTCGGCAGAGCAGAAATATGGAGCAGCGAAGGCCCAGAGGTGGAGGTCATCGGGGAAGGTTAATGTGCACTGGGCTATTTTCAGCAGATCTGTTTATGCTTCGGGGGAAGGCCTGATTCTGAGCCTGCTGGTCCACAGCTGTGATCAGCTGTAGCCACTGTGGGCCGAGTGACCCACAGCAGCTGTACCCTCGGCAGTGGCCGGGTCGCCCCCAAACAAATATTCTTATACACTGCAGCCACAGAGATTGGGGTGCTCGAAAGCTGCTCCCTGCAAGTCTTGGGAAGTCATGAGACGGTGGGGATCTGGAGAAAGGATGGCTGGAAGGCCTGGGTCCAGAGGGCTGCTCCCAGCGCTGTAGGGCCAGGTGCCTCTGGGGCGCCCCAACGGGGAGGTTTGACAACCCAGGGCTCAGAGGGTTGGCTTCTCTGGCTTTTGCTGAGATGGCAGCTGGCTGACTTGTAGTTTCTCCAGAGGGGGGCCTGGCAACCTGACATTGTGAGAGACGGGAGAAGAGAGCACCCGGCAGCGCTCTCTGGCTTAGTGAGATGGGTGAACCCCACCCATCCTGCAGTGGGTGTTGGGGACAGGAACAGGATCACCGTTGTGGCAAGCCTGAGCAGGTTCTCTGTAGATTCAGGCAGATGGACAAAGGAGAGTCCTGGAGCTCTCGGCTTTCTCAGGCTTTAATGCTCTCTCTATGCCAACTGGCAAGGCAGGGCAACTCCTGGAGAACCTTTACTCCTGGCTCCCGCTGGCGTTCTCGGGTGCTCTAGTCCTCTCCTAGCCTCTCCGCAGTACTGGCTTTGTCTCTGAGTGATGCCGCCACTATGGCCCCGTCTCCAGCCTCAGGTGTGCCCACTCACGCATGCCCACACCTCACTCCAGGTGTCCACCATCAGGCGCGCCCACGCGCCTCCTACATGCAAGGCTGCAGGATAGCTACATTGGCTAGCAGCCAAAAAGCCTGGCTGTTCATTTACCCTACCGGCACATTTACAACAGTCCCCCTGGAGCCAGGCGGAGCAGCATTACTCAGGCTGCCCCTCTCTCATGTCCTCCCATCTCTGCTGGGGAAGCTGTAGATGGCGGGGCTCACTGAAAGCCCCACATCAAGAGCCCGGTCTTGCGCCCCAAGCCTGTGGGCACTGTGTTCACTAATGGGCAGTCTTGACAAGCCCAAAATGGATTCCAGTAGGCTGGGACACAGTGATGAAGATGTGGCCCTGTCCTTAAGGAGCTCATGGCCAGACTTGGGGGGCAGAGGGCAGAGTAGACAGCCAAGGAGATAATCTGTAACATACTCTGAGTGTTTAAAAAAAAGGAGGGGTGGGTGGGAAGGCAGCTTTTTAGCAAAGGTCAGAGAACCCAGTAGCAGCTCCTCAAGGAAAGAAGGCTCAAGACAAACACGCAATTGGGGTTCAGAGGGCAGGCCACACCCTCCACTCAGCATGAACACACACCGCAGCCAAGCCATGACTGCTCTGCATCAAGTGGCTGTCTCCATCTCCCTGAGTACACAGCTAGAGACCGGAGGGCCTGTAGTTTATTGGAGGTGAGCCCAGGAAACACGCGGAGGGGAGGCATGAGACAGGGGGACAGGCAGGCAGTAAATGACGTCACTTTACCTGACTGGGGCTCGGCCCCACAGGGAACTCACTGGAAGTTGCTGTAGAACTCTCCCCTGCCAAACAGGCAAGCAGTAGGCATGTTTGTCCACCAGAGCCCAGTTTAGGCCAGCCCAGCTCGCAGACTGAGCCCTGCTCCCAGCAGCAGCTTTCCCGGGGCTTCCCTGACCTCCTCTATGGCCAAGAGTGGCCCTGGGGTGGGTGAGAAGGGAGCTCTCTACCAGTCAGGAGCTCGAGTCAGATATTAACAGCGTGTTTGTGAGTGTTGTGTTTCCGTACGTATCTTATTGCTCCTCACACACCACGTCACAGGGCTCTTCTGAGTGAGATCTGGAAAGTGCCAGGACAGGGCATGGTGACCTGTGAGCAAGGCGGAGATGGGGTCATCACCCATCAAAAGGGGGAACTAAGGATCTAAGAGACAAAACTGGTCCAAGATCAAAGCATCAGAACCTGGCTTACACCACCTTACACCACCCTATGACATGCAGGCCAGTCTAGGACAGGAGGGGACAATTCCGCGGGGACTGAGGTGATCATCTGCCCAGGTGGATGTTACATAGGACCCAGAGCTCCAGGCTTCCCTCTGTCTGTGAAGCACTGAGACCCTGTGAGGCCTCCAAGGACTTCCTGGGGACCTTTAAACTCAACCCCCCTTTGGGTAGCCCTCTTCAACTTCTAAGAGTTGCCAGCTCCCCAGAGCCCTGTGAGTCAGTCCTGAGGAGGCGACACATGGCAACTTCACCTTGCTCTAGTTGCTAACAGCCCCTCTGGTTTCTTTCTCCTCCTGCCGCAGATCTGGCCCCATTTTTGCAGAGCCCTGATGGGAACTGGGTGGCCTTGAAGGATGGTGCTCTGTCCCCCAACCACCTGCTGGCCAAACCTATAAGTGGCACATTTCAGGCCCTGGAAGCAGCCTCCAGCACAGCATCCGCCTACGATGATTTGGGCTCTGACAGCGAGGAGGACTTCGACTGGAGCGAGGCCTTGAGCACCCTGTGCCCTCCACCCCCAGGGCTGCCCAGGAACCCCCAGCCTCAGCCTACACAGGCCCCAAGCCTCTCAGGGCTCTCTCCCAACTTCGAGGCCATGTGCTCTGACTCAGAGACCTCCTCTGTAGGCTCCTCCCGGGAAGCTGGGCGCCAGGCCAGACTGTCCTGGCTGCAGAGGAAGGCCCCCAGGAGCCCTGCAGCGGACAAGATGCGCCTTCAGGGAGAGCTGGATGTGAACTTCAACCCCCAGGCAGCCAGAAGGGAGACCTCGGACAGCAGTGAGACGGAGGAGGCCCCCCACACTGCAGACCGGCGGGCCAGGAGGTGGAGAAGGGCCCGGGGGGCCTCAGAAGAGTCCAACAAGGAATTACCTTCCCCCAGTGTCCATCCCCAAGAGCTGGACACACATCAGGTAATAAAACCGGTCACGCGCAAGCAGACACACATGTGCCTTGTTCAGTAGGCTCTGCTCTTCTCCAAGCAGCGATGGCAGAGTCGTGGGCTACACATCCAGGTTTCATTGCTGAGTAGTTAGGTGACCTAGACAGGTCGCATCAGCTCCCTGGCATTCCGTGTCTCCTTTCTGGAAAGGAGAGCTCAGAGGTCAAAGTGTGCAAAGTGTGGCCCTCAGACCCAGGGTATCAGCACACCTGGAAACTGCCCCAGCCTCCTGAGTCAGAAACTGGGGATGGGCCCAGGCACCTCTGTTGTGACAAGCTATTCTGGTTATTCGCTGTGTGCTGAAGTTTGAGGGCCACCGGCTTGGCGTGAAGGGACCTCCTGCCTGGGTTCAAATCCAGCTGTGTCCTCAGGTAAAGCCTCTTGCTAGGTCTCAGTTTTTTTGTCCACTTCAAAGAATGGCTTCGATGAGTAAATAAGTTAATATTTATGAAGAACTAAAGGTTTGGTCTATGCTATTTTAGTGTAATCACCCCGGCATTTTTGAAGATCTTGTGATGGTTTAGTCCAAATCATACCCCATCAGAACCTCCTGTGACTCTGTCCACATGCTTTAACTTATAAACCCTCTTTAAGCATATAGTTACAGACTCTCTCCCTAGGGAAAAGAAAATGGCCCTTACACACCCTGTCCTGCAAACTTAGGTCGTTCAAGCCCCCAGCCAGGTTAGTTTTATATTCTCTAAATCCACCCTGTTGGTTCTGAGCCTTCAGCCATGGGCACGGGCCATGCCCTCAAACTCACCTCTCCCAGGAGAAGCCCTGTGCATCACGACTGACTGATGCCAGACTTTGCCTTCCCAGCGCAATATGGGAATCTGTTTTCTAATTCAAAAGTGGCACATATGGCCGGAATGTTCAGATGGCCTTGATTAAGCAGTAGATTGTGGTATTGAAACTGAGGGTCTGATGGTGGGTCTCAGAAGGCTGCCTCTGGCTCTTGTAGGAGTCTCATCACTAGCTCACATCACGATCAGCAACTCTTGTTTTTTAAAAAAATATTTATTTATTTATGCTTACAAGAACTGGGGTACAAGCCAGAGGTCCAGGGGAGAGGGGTAAGAGGATTTACCAGAGACAGAGTGGGGAGCAGAACAGGCGGGTTGACTGAAATACATGGCTGAGGGGAGTCAGGACAGGTCTGCCGTGCCATGTGGGCCCCTTCCCTGGCCATGGATCAAACTTGTGCTCCAACCGCTGAGGATAACTTCATAGTGCTGGGCTTTAACCCCTTGCGCCACCAGGGAGGCCCCTAACTAGTGACTCTTTATGCTCCTAGAGAAGCTACACCCACTTGCTGAACACCACTCCCCAGCCCCAGTACCCATCTGCTAGGCCTTCCATTCTGTGGGTTCTGCCAACAGCTCACCCTGAGTCAGGGTGTGGGTATTTTACACAGGAGGAGATCCCAGAAAGCCCAAGAGTGAGGAAGGCCATTTCCAGAACACCAGGGACCCTCTGAGGGGCCGTGTGGGACACAGCTCGGAATTCTCCCACCAGGGCACAGGTGCATAGCCAGCGTCCCATCCCCCATAGAGATGGGGTGGAGACCCGTTCACCCAGGGTGGGGCATGAATCCATGCACAGCCAGGTTAGCATGGAGGCTGCCAGAGAAGTCCCCCAGTGGAGAGTAAGAGAGGCCCACGTCTGAGTTAGGAAACTGCCCATGGGGAGAAACAGACCCCCCCCCCCAGCTGCTGGCAATGCATATAGACCCAGGGGTGCAGGCGGGGTCATCACCAGCATCAGGACTGGCCTTTTGTGAATGCCTCAGCCAGATCCCTGCTTCTAGGGCTCCAAGAATATTGCAGTGGACATGAGGTCCTCAAGTCACAGAACTTGGTGACCTGCCTGACCTGATACTATTATCCCCTAGGTAAAATCCTTTATTTGGCCCATACTCTCATTTTCTCATCTGTAAGACAAGATTGTTAAAATATGTCTCATGATATTGTTGGGCTCATGCACTAGAAATATAAAGTCCTCTTCAATTATGAGTTGTTATTATCTAGCTTAAATGTATCTGTCTTCCAGAGACCGTAGGTGGCTTGCCTCAAGAAATATGCTTGAAGGTTGCCGCATGATTCACTTGTAGGTTTGAAATGCCACGTCTCCGGAACAATTAAGTGGCTGATGCTTTGTATTTATTCTGAGGTGGTTTGGAAATTGTTTTTTAATGTTAATCTTTGCAAGGCATCAATAGAGGGAGGCATGATCAACAGAAAGGGACTGGCTGGACCAGTGATGCTTCTCTCTCGCTGGCAGAGTCCTCTTTTTCCCACTAGGTGGCGCTGGTGTTGCACTTACCAGAGAACTCAGAACCCGACCCTGCTTATCCTTCTGTTGCATTTGCTTGGACAGTTCCTCTGTGTGTGTGTGTGTGTGTGTGTGTGTACTGTGTACTGTGTACTGTGTACATATGTATTTTTTTAACCTGGGTAGTGATAGGAACAGAAAACTGCCCCTTTTTCCCTATGGAAAAGACTATGAAGGGGTAGGGACCTGTAGCTTCAAAGATGAGAAAAGTGACTGGAAGATATTGTGCAAATGTTTGGCAAACAGATATTCACCCTGTGCTGCAGATAAACCTTTCATTCTGATATGAAGATATAATCATCTCTGGTAATAGCTCTATTCTGGTACAGACACACATATCATTACTTCAGGCAGTTAAAGGAAAGTCAAAATGTTTTCCTGAATCTGCTGGGTCTTGTTGCTGTCACCTCAAAACAATTGACATGCCAAGTAGCACATTTTGGGATGTCAGATTCTGCTCCCCCTTAACTGTTTGCATACTATTTAACTATATAAATAAAGTGTATTGTGTATAAAAGATGGACACGTATAGTCTTCCTTGACCACGACCATTTATCCCGGGCATCTGCCCCCAAATTAATACAGTCCTGTTTGCTCTCTGGTATGTACATGTGACATATCTATCACCATTCAGGAATACGATTCTTTAAACGTGGCTGTTTCTGTAAAGCTGGCGTCTCACTTTCCATAGTCTTCTGTCTCTTTCTCTTAGCACTAAGTGATAGAGGTGTCAGACTCACAGATCTACACATAGCAGTGGTCCGTGGAGTAGGGGTGCATTGGCATTGGGAACCATCCATCCAGGGTGCAGGCTACAAGGGGGCATTGTCTGTAGGGAATTTTAAAGCAATAATAAACCCAATAAAAGCTGCCTTTTTATTACCGCCGTGCACCATGCGTGGACGATTGCTTTTTGCTGCTGGGACAAGCTGCTATCCAATCTTCTCTGTTCACCACTGATCATGGGGGGGAGAAGTGAACAATCAGTAGTTCCTATCATGGGGAGATTTAGGGTTTTCTTTAACGTTTTTGATGTCTAAAACAATACTGTCTCTGGTAAAGCCTCTCACCAGAGACTATCATTGTGCAAACCTCTTTGTACAGCAAAGTAGAAGTGCTGATTTCAAGCCCATCTGGCGCTCCCACTTTAATGAGTACTTGCCAGGTTAAGCTCCCAGAACCGCATAGCAGTTTACTTGGCCAGAGCACTGCATGAGTTTCCTCAATTTTTCAACAAGACCTAGTGTTTTCAGCCTGTGAAATCGTTGGCAACTTTATATGAGGAGAAAATACTTCTCTTTAGTTACCATTTTCATAGTAATTATGAGTGTGAGCTTTCCCCCTGATATTTAAAGCTGCTTGCATTTCTTTACTGTGAAAGGCAATCTGTTTCTTCTATGATTTTACTGTAGTATTTGTCCTCTGAATTGATTTTTTAAAGATTTATTTATTTATG